CTCTTAAAAAACCTAAAAACAATATCAACTCATCAAACTTCTTTTGCCTTAGGGCGTCAATCCGAAAACCCTTTTTCAAGGTATAAAATCAACCAATACACAATTATTCCTTAAGTGGCCGAACTACGACTGCTCTGATTTCTCACACATGTTGAGAATACGTAGGCATAGGATTGTGATGATCCTAGCGAGCACAATTTTATTTCTTTCCCATCTTTAATCATCCATACCTTTTAACCCAAGGACATGTTACGTCTGTTCTACCGCAAACAGGTAACGCATAAGACTCCAAGAGCGAGCCGCAATACACCTAACTGCTAGAATGCGCACGATAGCATCGTCCACCCAACATCCCGTTTTCCACCGTAGTCCCATGAACTACGAATGCTCTGATTCTTCACTTCATACAAGTGAATATATGTAGGCACAAGGGCCCCAATCCTTGGCGAGCACTCTAATAAACACCAACCCCTCTTTCTTTAAACAAGCAAACTTTTAGAATAAAACACTCATTCACGTCAAACAACCTAGGAGGTTCCCATCGAGTACGATGGATGCGAGGGGGTGCTAATACCTTCCCCTCGCATAACTGACTCCCCAACCCTAAGAATTGGTTGCGACGACCATACTCTTTTCCCAAAGGTTTTATCGCTATTTCCCTTTCCCTCCTTGGGATAAATAAAATTTGGTGGTGACTCTGTGTCATTTTTCGCGTAGCGACATACAAGACATGTTAACCCAGTTCGGTGCAATTCAACTACATCTGAGGTCTACCAAGCAAGAAAGAAGAATCCACTATCAGTAGTATAGTTTTATGTAAACAACCTTTGGTTTACCTATCACTACCCAATGAAAACTTTATCATTATAAATCTCCTCTAATTGATAAGAGAAACCCATCTCGCTCCCTTTAATCACTTCGTGTGATCTCTAACAGTTATAGTCGCAATAATTGTATCATTCTACTTGAAAGAACTTTCTTTTAATATAAAGTTCAGCCAAACAATCTTGACCAACAAACCTACTTGGATTTGCTTCAAAGCTTCATCCATGAACAATATATAATTCATTACCTAAAGGTTTCTGAATCTGTATAAACATTTATGTCTACCACAATGTACCCAAGCGATACAAAGGGAGACTTACAACACAAGGAAGCCTACGACTCTCAAAACCCTAAACCCTTATTTTCTACTTTACAAGTACTACACAAGGATTCTCTCTTTTTAGCCCTAGGTCTAAGTCTTCTTTTATAACCTTCTATAGTCTTGGGCTTCAAATCTTCTGTCCTTGATCCACTGCTAAACTCGCCTGGAATCTTGGAACATATTTGAAGTTAAAGCCTACTATAACAGTCATGATGTCGAGTCTTCATGCTGGGACATTTCATTCGACATCTTTGGTCTAGGGCAGATTTCTTCAAAATAGAACCTCTTACTCAACATTATGTTTTACCAAATTTTAGTCAAATCCATGGAGATTTCACTAGAAACCTTTGGATTCAGGATTTGAATAATATCGTCAACCACACCCTTTTTTGTAGTGAAAGTAGCAATTAGTTTTGTAAGTCCTTAGATTTTTGCATAAGAAGTTTAATCAGATGCCTTCTAACAGGACCATACGTGGGTGGGACAACAAGAACATGTTTACCAGTAGCCAAATTAGGCTCATCAAAATATGGATTATTAGGATGAACATTGTATGAGACATGTTTATCAGAAAACAGGTCATAACTAAAAATTCAACGGACTAGGTGGAATACCAATTTCATCTTCAATAGACACATTATCATGGTTTCGATTAATCAAAGTTCCAAAAATCAAAGAAGGAAACAATAAGAAGTTTTATGGCATATATCATGACTCTCTCCATTTATTGCAAGGTACGGTTCTTCCTTTCAACAATCCTAATTCGTTGGATAGAGATGGGAGTATCAAACTCATGAGTAATCCCTTCGTAGTGCAGAAAAAGTAGAAGTTTGAATTATAGCTTTGAATATGAATGATCTTGCCAATTTATTCTATTTTTTCACGTTGTAAGTGATAATAATGAGCTTCAAAAATATTGAAGGTATCATATTACTCATGAATAACCTCGATGCAAGTGTATCTAGAGTCGTCATCATCATAGACAAAGACATATCTCTTTCCTCCAAGAATCTCAACTTGAATGGGTCTCATAAGATCCATATGAAGTAATTTTGGAACACGAGTAGGGTAGGATGTTGAAACTTGTTATGCGACGTCTTGGTTTTCTTCCCAACTTAAGAGTCATCATAAATTTTACCTTCTTCAATTTTGAGATCAGACATACCTATGACAACTTTTTCGGAAATAACGTTCCTCATACTACAAATATTTATGTACCCTAGATTAGTTTATATATCTACGATGTCATCCATGATGTCAATAACATGACCTTTGGAAGGGGTTTTGAATCTATTTTGAGTGTTTTGCAAACAAATTATTTAATCTTCTACCTCTTTCTACTTCTATTTTTGTGTGGATATAAATCTCATATTTTGAGATGCGTCATTTTTTAGGAGATCTTATTATTGTGATTAATGTTTCTTTGAATATTTCTTGAGTGCTTAGAGGTTTACAAAAAATTAGTGTGGTTGTGGTTGGTTTTGACAATTTCAGCAAAAAAAGAATGAGGTTCTTCTCACCATAATTACTTTGGTATTGTAGTGAACAAGCCAACGGACAATGTGGGAGGTCTTCTAAATCTTCGTAAAGACCAACGCTCAAAACACTAGTAGGATCGAGGAAAGCTCAATGCAAAACAAAGACTTTGGAACAGAATTGTTTATGCTGGAAGATTCAAGACGGTATCAACTAAAAATTTCGTAAGGACTAAGTTTTGGATACTGTGTACAATTCAACAAGGGTCCATATCAAAGATTTTACATTTTGAGCATTATTTGGGTTGTGAGTGTACTAAACATCTTGTAATTAGTCAAAAACTATAAAAATTTCTCTTGTCGCTGATTAAGACTTGAAATTGTAGTTTTAGAATTCTACTATTATTAAATTTGTAGACTTACACATCTCATGTGAGTTGATCATTATTTGATATACCACTTTGAGTAATTTGATTGATTGTCTAATTCAATTTATGTATTTGTATACCGATTAAGGTGTTTTGTATACGTTGTCCGATAAACATCATCGATTTTATACGCACATTGCTTTTGCCACATAAATTGTTTCAAACTCTTTTACCCAACAAATTATATTATGGCTAATGAGAGAAAGGTCATACCTAGATGTGAGTTTCAGAAGGCACTCCTCATATGGTTCTTTTACATAAAATCTTAATAGATACACATATAAGAGGCGGAGAAGGAATATGGACATTCAGTAGTGATAATTTAATTTGTATTTTAATATTAACATTTAAAAATTTGTATGGTTGATTATATTTTGAGCGAGTGATATATGGTTTACCAACATTTTAATCTTAATAGATAGACATATAAGAGGCGGAGAAGGATTATGGACATTCAGTGGTGATAATTTAATTTGTATTTTAATATTAACATTTTAAAAATTTGTATGGTTGATTATATTTTGAGCGAGTGATATATGGTTTACCAACATTTTACTTGACTTATAATGTATGGTTTAATATTATGACTAATCTGTATGGTTTATCTTGGGTGTGATTTTTAAATGACTTATAATGTATGACTGGGTGTGATTTTTAAATGACTTATAATGTATGACTTTAATGTATAATTTATAATGTATGGTTTAATGTCATGAATTTTAAAAGTACTATTAATGGGTGTAAATTTTGTCATTGGATTTTTTTAAATTTTGAAATTTAAATTCACCTCACTGTTATGAAATAAACATAAACATTATTTATGCGATTGTCTGTCCGAATATTGAAATCTGAATTCCAATAGAATATATACGGAGAATGAAATTCAGACATATCTTTTACAAAAATGGGGTGCTTCTCTATTAAAATTAATTGTTATAAAAATGTGTCCAAAATGTGCAACAATTTCAAATTTCTCTAGAGTGTGTGAACTCACTACATGATATAGTAATGACCAGCCTTAATTTAGATACCTCTAGTGCTGCAGAGTATCATGTTTGAAGATATTTCTGAGACCTACACGCGTAAACAAACATCTAATTTTGTAGTTTTTTTTTTTTTTTTTTGAACTTTGACTTCTTTTTATAAAAGTAAAAGAAAAAAAAGGTATTTAGAAGCATTAGTAGACCAATGTATTTCTCTAAGACAAGATCTATGTAGAAATACTAATTCACCAATTTAATACATAATATCGAGAAAAAAAAATTATCAACATACCAAATATATTATTCAAACTGTGTCGCTAGAAATATCCAAATTATCAAAAACTGAACATACATAATCCTAATATTATCATAACTCTGATTAAATTGATTGCCTTTAAAGAGCGCAGATGGCATAAACATCCGCATGGAGTAGTAACTTGAAGGTAACAGAAGAATGAAACGGTAAATCATGGAGAATTTGGTTTTCAAATGAAGCTACAATTATCACTAAACGTTTCAAATGTCATACATCAACCCAATTTTTACCGCAACATCAAGCTTTCTCATTGATAAAACATTATATGAACAGGTGGGAAAATGCACAAAAATTACAAAAATTGGAACCAAAAGCAGTTCTTTGGTATAACTACGATGGCCTGGAACTTCCAAAGAAAGCATAAAATGCAATGACCTTGTACAACAGTACCCTTCCTTCAGACTGTAGACTGACCAAAACCTGGATGCAACTAGGAAAATCTTACAAAAGCTATTCTGCAGCTAGTAAAAGCCTTTACCAGTTTTAGTCACCATTCCTGGATAAGGAATCACTCAATTCTTGATGGCTGAAATCATCAATTCTAGATCATAATGTAAATTATTATAGCCAATTAGCTCAGGAAACTGCATTTGGTAACTCACAGATATTCTACGCTCAACCAATATGATTTACAATTGTCCTCTCACCAGATTAGCCAAGCAAGTCCCTGAACAAATTGGGATTCTGGCCCGTGGGAGTGACACCCATCTGCCTGACTTTTGCATCCTTCTCCAAAGAATCTTTAGCATTTGCACCCTTTACAGATTGTGATAAGGGGGACACTATTGCTTCTCCCGTAGTGCCTCTGACAGCTGCTGCATTTGACAACTCGGATAAAAGATTTAAATTATCCCCACTCGCAGGGATATAGCCGCCACCACCGCTCTGTTCACTAGAAGTAGTCCCGCTATAGAGTCCCATAATATCAGGTGCATTTGTAACAGCACCATCACTATGACTTACTGGAGAACTAATGCTTGGGTCAAGAAGTCCTTCCAGTTGCATGAATGGGTCCACGGTGGGAGGTGCAACAGTGACAGTTGGTTCACCCAAGTCAAGCAAATCTTGAGGAGGAGGTTGATTAGTTTTCTCCCCAGATTCTTTATTGGGTACACTTGCAGCACTAGCTTTTGGAGCCTTGCTGCTGGTTGATGTTTTCCTCTCAGGTTTAGCAGAACCACCGAACAATGAGGCGGCAAGCTTCTGCTTTTCTGGATCAATTTCATTCTGTTGCTTTCTTGAATCGTAGCTATCACGTGCTTTTGAATTAACAGTAGTTGCAACATCCACCTTTGTCACCCCATTCACTGGGTTTTGGAAAGTAGAATTTGAGGATGATGCTGGGGATGAATAAGTTGGCTTGCCCCACTTTTTCTGAACACCGTCAAGCCTTAGTTTAAGCTCTGATGATCCTGTATCTGATGCTAATCCAACTGACGTGATCTGGTGAGTCTCCCTAGCATACAACGAGTCAGGTACTGGAACTAGGTCAGTTACGGATGAAAGTGAAACTGGAGTGGGAGCCTTCGGAATTTCATATGCCTCAAATCTCAGACCATGCTGTACAGATTCTTGCTGATCTTGGCTTCTGAAGTTGCCCATATTCCCCATTCCAGAACGCTCGTGCTCTGAAATGTAGGGCATAGCCCCACTTTCTATAGACTGCTGGATGTAACTATTGAGGAAAGAAAGATTATTATCCACCTGCATAAAAATTCGGCGTGTCAATCCTAAATCAGAAAACAAGAATGCTCATATGGTGATTAGGATTGTTCCCAAGCACATTGTAAGTTCAACGAGTATGTGTGCATACAATACATAGTTAAACAGCTATTGAAGTTAAACATGCCAACAGATTAATCAAGAGATTCCTAACCAACAAATTACAGATTACAACTGACAAAAAAAAGTCTGTCCAAGACATATGTATTGATTGGAATTGGAATTTTCAAAACATAATAAGCATGACAATCTGCAATTCCCAAATTATGAATCCAAACCCTGGGAAAATTCAAAGAAAAAAAAAACACCCTCTGAACAAAGAGTTCTACTTTAAAACTCAGATTGTTCAATGACTTATATAGCCTTGCCTCAGTTATCATCTCAACTCTCAAGTTGAACTTCAAAGTACAGAAACAAAATGCTAAATTATTTAAATAAAATTATTAGAAATAATAAGTCTACCTAAGCACAAGTGTTACATGTAAAGTGACATTGTGTTGGGTCATGCAAGAGACATTGCATTGAGTCATGCAATGAGTTGTACATGGAGATTGCATGAATTGACTGAGTGTTAACAGCGTATTGGATGTCGGGCCATGTCACTGTTAAATATAATAGACGACCAATGAGGCGACGATAGATTGTCGGATCAGGAAGAGGGCTTCCTTCATTGGGCCGTAGACGGAGGTGTTGTTCCATATGAAAATCTGATGGTCGGCAACCAGTCATACCAGAGTCGGATAAAATGTCAAGTGTATATTTCCTTTGACATAAGAATATTTCCTTTGACATAGTGTGCGTGTGTGTAAATTACCATTTTGCCCTTCACTAAGATCTTAAGTGACGTGCTACGATCCTAATTTTACGATCTTTCACAAGCCGTCTGATCCTACTTAAGATCTTGTGTTTGAGTACCTTGCGTGCCATGCTCCTTCACAACTATGTACCCTTTCAATTTTGGGGAGATGTGATCCTCAGAGCTTGCTACTTAATCAATTGAATGCTCTCCTCCGTTCTTAACGACTAGCTACCACATTCCATTTGTTTCCCAAAAAACATCTTTACCATTTCGTTTTGGGTGTACATGTTTTGTTCATGATCTCAGTCCAAGGTCAAGTGTATTTTCCTCCGCTACTTTCGTCACATAAAGGATATCGATGCTACTCCCAATATTTTCAGCGATACATTTTCTCTAGAGATATTAGCTTCTGAGACGTCCAATATTTTCTTCTACTCCACATTTTCTCTAGAGATATTAGCTTCTGAGACGTCCAATATTTTCTTCTACTCCAGACAAGTCAAATGGTTCTAGTAAGTCACAATCTTTCCATCAAAGAGCATCAATCTTCCCATTGCACCCATCCATATCTCTAACCCCACCTTTACCCTTCGCACATGTCAACAGAGGCCAGCACATATCAACAGAGATCGCGTCCACCACCCAATCCCATCTTACACCAGAGCTGGCCATTGCCCTATATAAAGGTAACAGGTGCTCTCGAAGTCCTAATTAATATCTATGCTTGTCATTTGAATTATCATCACTTATCTATCTACATCCTATTAAGCCTTTGTGGTTTCCTTGGATTGTGTGTATATTCCCAAAACTATAGGTGAAGCTATGTCTGATCATGGGATTTGGTACCATTAACTAATGGAAAAACTACAGTGGATTGTCGATGAGTCTAGAGTTAAAGTTGGGCCTCTTGGAAAGATTGACTGCTTAAAAGTTTGCCTTGTGTAAAAAGGGTACACAGAAATTTTGGCCTTGAACACGTGAATACCTTTTCTCACATTTCCAAGATTGCATTTGTCCGCCTTCTTCTTGCCATTGTTGTTATTCGTCAATGGTCTCTCCATCAATTGGACATCAAAGATGCCTCCCTACATTGAACTCACTTTGCTTTCCAGCTACGTTGATCTCTATATGGCTTGAAGCAATCTCGTTGTGCTTGGTTGGAAAGGTTAAGCACTATGCTCTAGGAGTATGGCATGGTCAAATGTGAAGCTAACTACTATATCTTCTTATTGCATTCTTCACCAAACGCTTGCATCTCTCAGCTTGTTTATGTTGATGACAACACAGGTAATGACGAGGTTGGCATTCATCGACTCAAATAACAGTTATCTTTACACTTTCAAACAAAAGATTTGAGGCCACTAAAATATTTTTTGGGACTATGACAATAAATATGGCAATGCAGCTTTAGGGTGGAAACACAGTAGGTATAATAAGTGTTGCAGCCTATGGCGGCTGGCAGCATAGTATCCCCCATGCTTTAACACCATGGGGTCGTAATAGAAGAAATTTGACAACACTAACAACATAGTGAAGACATCATTAATTTTAAAATAACAACACATGTGAAAATTAACAATAACCTCAGTGTCTCTGCAACATTAAAAATATGTTAAATATTATAATATGTTAAGTATTATAAATCAACATAGTGAAAACATTATTAATTTTAAGATGACATAAGAATATGCTGAAATTAACAATGACCTCAATATCTTCACAACTGGCATCATGTGGCAATATTGCTTCAACAGCTTTTGCATCCAAACCAATAACGGCTTGCAACTCATAAGCACGTTGCTGCAAATCAGTGGAGTGGGATGCTAATAATTCTTCAACCAAAGATTGACACTGCATTTTGAAAAGAAAATGTTACTCATCTTGGTAGTATACCCAATCAAACTTCGGCTTTAAAAAATTACAGGAGAATCAAATGTAAGTGTTGGGGCTAGTATAAGATGCAAAAATGTGCTAAAAAATGCTACTGGGAAAAGACAAGATATGGGATGGCAACATGGTACTAGTGTAGATGGTGATGCAAGGAAAAGTAAGTGCAACTACTGTCATAAAGTGTATACTAAAGGCATTTGTCAATTTACGCACTATTTAGCAGGCACAAAGAAGGATATTGAAGAGTCTAGAGCTGTTTTCATTAACAAATGTGGGACATTGGATTTTGATCTTGACAATATTGTGTAGAACCAGAACCAGTCATGATTTCACAATTTTATGCTTCTATTTTCTCTTGCTTAACGGTATCATTGTAGTGCAGTTCTTTTTTATGATCATAAAGATGGGATAACATGACATCTATTAGTCAAAGGTTGAACTATACTCAAAACTTAAACATTAACTTCCTTTGCAGAAAGTCAGTGACAATGAAACAGGTAGAGAATTTAACCTAAATTTTTCAGCAAATACCTCAGATAGCATATCCACTTTCCTCCCAGCTGCTATTTCAAATGCATAAATTTTTGTCAATGCTGTTATCGCGTATGCCTTCACAACAAATAATAAATTAGTCCCAACAGAAAATTGTTAAGTCAGAAAGGTGGAATCAGTTGTCATATTAGAGCATAAAAGAGGGTTAGGGATAATGAGAAATCATAAAACAAGATGAACATCAGTGATTATAAGAAGAAAACATCATCAGCATTAGCAATCATGCAATACAACCCAATGAAACACAATAACAAGAACCAAGCTCAATTTAGAAACATCTAACACCAATTGCAATTTGTAACTATTAGAACTGATATAAGGTCTGATAAGAGTTTATAAAGAGAGACACCTCTCTCCTTACAAGCCGAATTTGTAAGGATGAGATAGATCTAATATAAAAACCTAATACGGTATCAAAGACTATCAAACGGACCACCCACCAAATATATCCATGCAACAAGCCCAATAGTGATGGGTGTGAGAGGGTGCATTGAAAAAAACTCAAGTCTCACTTAGAATCTAACCAATGAAATCAATGAAGCAATTAAACAACTAGAGTAGCTACATATAATATTCAATAAATTAACTTTCATGACAGTGAGTACAAGGAAAGCTCATTCCATACTTGTAAATGATGATGATTCTTCAATACACTTCCAAGACTACGCTTACTTTTAAGGATGTTAACAGACATTCCAATTTATTACTTTTATTGACTGTTTAAAGTTATTGGCTCTTTTGAACACTGACTTAATTTGCAAAGTTGTTTTTAAAATGATAAAGAAATTATGTCATTGATTGGGTAGATTTCCAAATGCTTTGATCTTCAGATGTTCTTCTAATTAGAACTAAATACTAATAGATTACTTTCAGAAGTAATATATTACATTTTTACTAAAAGTTGCACCTAAAAGTTGTGTGATGCTCTAGTCTCTATATTTGGTTATCCTAGATAGTATGCAGTTATTTCAAGACAATTTTAAGTTAGTTTTAAATCTCCAACGCAAAGTAATTAATTAATAGCAAGAGTAAGATATTACTTCTTCAAAGATTCAGAACTTTGAACCTCTTTACCCTAATTCTTCCTGTAAACAACAAAGGGAATTTTCCCAATTGATTTAAACATGAAAAATAAAAACTTGAACAGAGCTGTTATGTTCTAAAATCACGACTCCTTGAAAAGAGCTGTTATGGCTCTAAAGTTAAGCTTGAGGACATGTAGATCACAACTTCACAAGGATGTGAACGAACCCATTATAAAATCATGCATCAATTTTCTCTATTCTAACTGTTATTTCAAGCATAATATCTCTTTATATTTCAAGCAATTCTTAATTGTAATTTCATTGAATCTTGTTGAACTTGATATTCATTGTTTGTTCATATATCTTGGGTATACTACTTAATCAGTTTGATTTGTTTCTTAATAACTTGACATATTCATATTTCTTTTTGTTAAAGAATCATTTTAAAAAGTGCATTTCATATGACACCACTTTGCACATCTTTGATCAGGAAAGTTTTACATTTCTACCCTATACATGATAAGAGGAGAAAGTTAATCACAAATATCCTGTACTCGATTCACTCTCTCCCCTCCACTAGATTTTACGTTTAAACCCACAATGCCCATCCAATGCAACCAATCAGAAAGGTGATAATGCTCATCCCAGAATGTATTTTTATGTTATTTACATGGCATGTATTAACATAGACCACACGGCAGATATGTACAAGAAACGGTCATCCTATCAAAGTGCATTACAGTGCTTGAATCTTAAAAATGTAATCAGTAGGAGTCTCTCAATGAAATGGCATGATGATTTTTCTGCTGTAGAACAAATTTATTTGCATTTGATAAATACCTTAACAATTTCATCATTAGAATATGCTTCTGCCATATCGCATAACTTTCCAGTGATATAGGACGCGGAATGCTTTCCATCAGCTGTGCCATATTCCCCAAGAACCCAGCAAATAACCTGTAATCAGTACTAAAGGTTACTCAACAGACCGATCTAATTTCTTGGGAAGTAAAAGAAGTGGGATATATTATAAAACTTAAGTGGAACAGAGAGTACTTGAAGAAACCCTGATGGAAGCTTTGGCTCTCCAATAATGCGCAAGTATGATTCAACCTACATCTCCAAGAAGAGCTTCTACTTAGTAACATGCATATGACTAATTTTGTAGACACGTACCAGATAAAGAGGAGCTAGTATCAAGATAACATACAGCCGACGACCTCAGCTGACTGTATGCCGCATCATCGTCCTCTCCAAATCCTTCTGCAATCAACCGCATTAAATTATGTGCAACTTTAATGTTCACAAGATCTCCAGCATGCTCAAAAACTTTATTCATTGTCTGTATTATCAAGTACATGGTACTGTTAGCTGTAGATGAATGTAAGACATGATGCAGAGCCAAGAACATAAAAACAACCATTCTAACTACCTGTATAAACCAATGATTACTTGGTGCAAATTGCTCAGCAAGTTCTACACATCGAGAAGCAATATAGGTTTTGTAATGATCGTCACTGATGCTGATCATGTACTCAATCATACGGTCAACAATCACTTCCACATTGGAAGACTTGGTCATTTTGTATAGCAGTTCAAAAGTTTTTCGCTTCAAAGTATCATCAGGATCCTGCACCATCCAAATTAGATTTTTATCTTGACTGTAAAGCCTGGGATGAGTTAAACTGATTGAAACATTTGTGTTAAAGCTAACAAATGCGTATGATTCTAAAGGCCAGCTGAGATTAATTACAAGATCTCACAAAAAAACAAATGCAAACTATCATAAACCACAAAAAACAAAATATGGCTGAATTCACAACCAGGTAATGAGCAGTAGAACCATTAATAGCTCTATATATGATAGAATACATAAACAGATAATATTATAAACGTGCTTGCAGACAATTAATGATTAGACACAAGGTGGGTTCACTTAATAGGTAATAATTGGCATGTTTCTCACAGTCAAACCAGGTCAAGGTACAACAAGCATTAGTTTATCATCTTCCTAGATTGGTAGCACAACTCTTCATAATGCATCCGGAGACAGGATATTGGCAGGTTTTCAAACTTGAACAACATCGGACAAAGATCAATTCATTCTCTTGCTGAATTATCTGGTAAAATTGTTCATATTTTATAATGCATCTGCAAGGCATGTTAATAACAGCCATTGGTCTCCATTATTAGTTACTAGTCTAAATAATAAACTTTCATATACAAAAAACAGGGAACAGTGAAAATGTTGCGCATAGGTGGAATCCTCTGAGAATATGTGTTAATTAATTTCATTTGTCTAATATGTAACATCACATAAGTGACTAGCAACAGGTCAGCAACACTACATTCTCTATGCATGTTCATTTGCACAACATTTTTTGTTACAAATAGTAGCTATTCATTATCCTCATTGTATAAAAATAGAAGGATCCTTCTCATGGTTAAATCAAACATAAAGGGAAAGGAAGAAACAATGATCTGAAAATCCAAAAAATTGGCAATGCAAAACACATTTGCCTCAACTATTAAAGCATTTAAGAAAATCCTCACCTCTAAGCAGTCAATGACAGCAAGTTGATGTTGCTCTGCAATAAGCGGACTTAACTTTATCAGCCGACCGAGAGCATCAATGCCCATGTACTTGAGATTATGACTATCACTCTGGCCATACAAACACAGCCGCAACACAAATGTAACACATCACAGAAAAAACATGTACAACATAAACTAGAAACAAAATTTGCTTCAACAACAAATCAAAACAAAACAAAAATAAAAACCTTTAAAAACTTGGCAATCACATCCGCAGCAGCTTCTAACAACTTGGGATTGGGATATATGGAAGAGACGCAGCGAATGGACTCATAAAGAATGGCATTCCCTATGTTACTTGATGAATCTCCCTTCCTAATTATATCGCCTATAACAGTATACATGTGTTCGCTAGCAGGCTTGTCACCGCTCCCCAACAATGCAAGAAGTTTCAGCAATTTAATCTGCACACTCAAAAGACATTATTTTTCCTTAAATCAAAAACAATTCAAACCAAAAACATAACTTCTGTGTAATTGTTTTCCATTGGATTATATCATCGTTGATTTACCTTTTGCCAAACATAACTTTTGTGAAAATATGTTTAATTTCTTCCACAAAATTGATTTTGCTTCCAATTCTTAATTTGATTTAGACTATAAGTATGAAAGGCATCTTTTACATTCACGGGGAAAAACTGACACTTTGCTGAGTAAAAACATCAAAACATAATTTATCTTCAAACTTAATTATAGCCAAATCAATTCTATTAAAGAAAAACATGTTTGTCACCCTAATCATATAAACACATGTTTAGTGTATGTTTGGTATCACACTGAATTTGACGAAATCACTGCGGCCCTGTGATTTTATTGAAGTTTCAAACAAAAGACACAATGGCAGACTGTGATTCTATCAAACTCATTATTAAATCATGCATGCACTAAGTAGTAGTCGCATTTGGCTAATTATAGACATGCACCAAACAGAAACTAAATCAAAACTAAAATTAAGCTCAGAGGAAGCACCTGAACGAATGGAGCTGGCATCTGGTGATAATCATAGCTCTTAGGCAACCTATGTTCTGCTACCTGTTTGAGAATACTAACAAAGCTAACAACAAGATCCTTAAACGGGGTAGGATCGTCGTTTATGAGATCAAACAAAGGACAAAGAGTAGCACCCATTACACCAGGATCATTATCACACAATCTCTTCCGAAAATTTGATACAAGATGTGAAACGGATGAAGGAGATTTACGGTGGAAGCTATGAAGTGCCATAACTGCTTTCTTTCTAACAGCTTCCTTAGAGTGAGAAAGCAGTTCAACAACGAGAGGCAAAACGGCAGGGATAGTCTCGTCGTTGATAAGTCGACAAACGGCATTAAGTGCAGCACAAACGACAAGATAGTTATCAGACTTAAGATCCTTCTGGATAGTGTTAACAATGAGAATGATAAGATCATGATCGTCGTTCAGGAAAAGAGTAACAGCGAGATAACCGGTGCGTTTGGAGAGCAGGTTATCATCGTGAGTCATTTTAACGGCGTGAATGTAACCGAACGAAGCATCGTGGCCAAGCATCTCGACGTAGAGAAGGCGTATAATGTACTCTTTCATCTTCCGTTTTGGGATATCAGGTTCGGAAATTCGTCGTTTAAGGGTTTCGATTTCGCGGATTACGATTCGATCTTCTTCGGCTTTAGATCGAGCTTCTCCGATTGATTTTATCAGGTCGAGAAATTCCTTGGATTGACCGAACCCGCCTTGGGATCCCATGGCGAGTTCGCGGCCGATTGTCTTCAATTGCTCCAGTTTGAAGGTTTTCTGTGAAGGTTTTGGAGTTTTCGGATCCGGATCGGGCTCCGGGAGGTGGTTGCGGTGGTGGATCTGGTGCAGAGAGAAGGGTTTGTGGTGGATGAATGCGAGTATGAAGAGTGTGAAGATGAAAAAGTAGAAGAATAGGGTAAACGACGTCGTATTCGACGAAGAAAGAAAGAGAAGTAGTAACTTGGTGACTCGTGTTTTGGTGTACAGTGTAACAAAAACTGTTTATTGTTATTTTCTCAGAATTCAGAAAATGATAATAATGAAGAAAAAAATTGGTAATGAATTTTTTTTGAAAGAAATTGGTAATGGCAATGTAATTTTCAGGTGTTGACGTAAGTTTTGTCAAAAATAAAATAAAAGGACGTTGATATGTGATAATTTTTAAAATAGTATCAGAATAGATATGGTAAAAAAATACTCAGAAACTATATATTCAATTAAATATATATTATTGTAAGAAAATACAGTTTATAAGGCATAAGCTAATGAAGGTACAGTTCTTTTATAGAATATAATGGAAAAAATATGTTTTTATTGAATGATGAAGGTACACATCGTGATAAACGTGGTGTTCTTTTATATTGGAAATTGCATTCATGTAAGGTTTTAGTAGGTGCTAACTTTTGGTTGGTTTAAAACTATTTAAAAAATGAAATTAATTTTTAAAAAGTTGTTATAATTTCATAATTTTAACTCATCAAAATAATGTATGTTCTAATTTTTTTTAAAATTAAATTAAACATATTTGATTTTGATAAATATTTAATGAAAAAAAATAGAAAATAGAAGATAACACTCAATCAATTACCATCGTATATTTTATTAAATTAGATTTAATTTATTAAGTTACTAATGTGACATTGAAATGACTAAGTAACATATTTTGAATTTTTTTTTAATATAACATATTTTTTTTAAATTACCAAATAAATTAAAAAATATTTTAAAAAATATATAAAATTGGTTATGTTTGTATGAGAAGTCGTCATATGAAATGGCTGATCAAAGTCTCTCAAACCTAATTCGCTATTTTATATGGTGCATGAGTTGTTTTTGGTTGCCCTATCCTACCGTGAGTCGCTATAGGGGATGACTCATCAGTTGTAAGGTTTTTTTTAATATTTGATTTTTTTTATATTTTATCACATTTAATTAATATTTAATATTTATTTTTGGTCACATATAATTAAAAAAAATAATAAAGTTTGTTATTTTTAATATTTTATAATATATATATATATATATATATATATATATATATATATATATATATAAAATAAATTATAATATTTATAATATAAAAAAGCATCAATATTGTACAATAGATGAAAAAAGAAAATCAATAGTAGGCTCTATCAAAACGACCATCGGTACCACATTAGGGAGAATTTGCGCGGCGTCGAGGTCTACCATGAGGTTGTTGAGGTGTATCTGGTCTTTGCGTGTTTACCTGTGGAAGAGGTATTTGTTGAGATGGCCCCGACGTATTAGATAAATTTTGAAGCATTTGACCCCAATAGTCGGGGTGGCCGCTGCTAACGGCGCTTCCGTAATTAAGTTAAATGCCCATGTTTTCGTAGTTTTGTCGGGGAGGTTGGGTGTGGTGTGGACAGTATGGTTGTCTGAATTGGTACATTGAATCGGTTTGAAAACGATGTAATGGTTGTTGTGGAGTTTGGTAGTCAAAAAGTGGAAAGGTATTTTGTTGGTAGGAAGATTGATTGTCTGTTGTGGGGTCAAAAGAGTTATTTGGGCTATAGGTGGATGGGGTAGGGTCAAAAGATATATCAGGGTTATATGCAGAAGTGATGTCACTTTCAGAAGGCTGGCGGTAGGGGTAAGGCTCTTGTTGTTGTGATTGGGTTGGTGGCATGTATGGGTTGCAATTTTAGAAGAATGATTGGGTGGACATAGTTGGATGTTGGGTATAACATGGTGTTTGATTTTGGGCATTAGGTTGTTGTTGTGGGTTTGAGGAAGACGTATGTTGCCTTGGGTCAATCAAATACGTTGGCTCAGACACAAATTGTTGTGAGGTTGTAACCGACCTAAACCAAATCATATATTGATAACTTGGTGGAGCCCCTTCCACAATAGGGTCGGTTAAGATATGTTGATGTCGGTTCCTCTAATGTAGACACGTCTCTTTTGCAAAGTCCTTCCAATGATTTACACGATACTATTGTAGTGTTCTACGAGGTATTTCAAATTAATACCTTGCCCCCTCGATCGACCCTCACGTTGTGGCTGAGGTGTGTTGACACATAGAGGGGCGCCCAGTAAATCTTCGCAAAGTTGGTCATTAACACCAACTTTGCTGTTGACTGTAACACCCCACTCTAAACTATCACGGAAAAATAAGATAAACAACAGAAACAATTCAGAGTGCAGCAAATAAAATCTCATGACGACCGTCATGGATGTCACGACCGTCACGGTCATGACGAGCGTCATGGGGCTGTAACGACCGTCACACTCCCAAATTCTCAAACGCAGCAGAGGTGTCACATTCTACACTTAACCAAAACACATACACCTGCAAAAGATCATTTACTAACATACGTAGCACAAAACTCGGATGAACAAACAACGATAATTTGTTTAACATTTTAATCATAAAACGACATGTTATAATACACTTCCAACGATTCGTAGTAATTAAATTCCATTAAAATTCAGCAACAAGGAATTCAATTAAAACAATAACATTAATCGTTCATCCCCCCCCCCCCCCGAGTGCTACGTATCAGAGCGACCAACGACCTTAAACATAAAGCTACACTTTCTTCCGAGTTACCTGCAAATTACCACCAACGGAGGTAACATACAACATAAAGGGTGAGATATCAACAATATAACATAAGGCATGATAAAAGTCATGTCAGAATATTATCACAGCATTATAATTCCAGCAGTTCGCATAAATATTAGTAATAATTAAACTGCAACAATTCATTATTCATAACCACAACAATTATCATCATATCTCAGCAACTCATCAAAACAACTCAACAACGCAACTCAACAATGCAACTCATCAATGCGACTCAACTGTGCATATGCATGTGGTACCATTTAGGAGCCAACACTCCAAAACTCGGGACAGGGCCAACACCCCGAACCCATCTAGGAGCCAACACTCCAAAACTCGGGACAGGGCCAACACCCCGAACCCATCTAGGGGCCAATACTCCAAATAACGCCAATACAGGCACAACCGTCGCCAATCCAGGCCAAATGCTATGCTATGAGATGCAACTATTATGGACTATAACACAACAACAACAACAACTGTGCAACAACCGTGCAACAAGGCATCACGCCTACAACCAATTATCCATAACAGAAACATCACATTTTGCATATATTATGGACTCACCATTTCACTTTGTTCATATCAGAGAACTACCAACAGTATCGTTCCTACGAATAAGACTCTAACACATTTTTGCAGAGAACAATTAAAAACAACCTCGTCTCTACAATCGAGAACTCAACAACATTTTCATGTCAGAGAACAACTGACAACATCATTACTACAAATAAGAATTCAACAGATTTTCATATACCTTCATACGGGTAATATAACTACGACTTATCCATGTAATCCAAGGAGAAAATTATAATAACATTTCCTCAACAAATGGGAAATTAGCGTGTGTCGGCGCCGATTCCCAACATTACTACATAAACTAATGACATAAACATTAATGCACGCATAGACAAACATTAACCCTTAATATTTCTCAACCTACGGGAACATTTACCCTTAATATTCTCTTAATATTTCTCAACCTACGGGAACATTTACCCTTAATATTCCCATAATATTTCTCAACCTACGGGAACATTTACCCTTAATATTCTCTTAATATTTCTCAACCTACGGGAACATTTACCCTTAATATTCCCTTAATATTTTTCAACCTACGGGAACATTTACCCTTAATATTCTCTTAATATTTCTCAACATACGGGAACATTTACCCTTAATATTTCTCAACCTACGGAAACATTAATCCTTAATACTCCCTTAATATTTCTCAACCTACGGGAACATTTACCCTTAATATTCTCTTAATATTTCTCAACCTACGAGAACATTTACCCTTAATATTCCCTTAATATTTCTCAACCTACGGGAACGTTTCTTCAACTTGCGGGAACATTACAACGGTAACGTTACTACGGGAATATTACTACGGGAACATTACTACGGTAACGTTACTACGGGGACATTACTACGTATTTGCCCCATTAGGGAAACCTTAGAGCATCGTATATAACACATTCATTCTTACATAGAAAAACCTCATCCCTAACATTTATCGATTAACGAAAATTATACCTATGAATCAATTCCCTACATGAAATTGATCATACCCACAGTTATAGAATTGAACTCCACCCTTACCTTAGAATAGAGGCCAATTCCAAGCTTTTAGTTCTGGTTCTGCTCTTCGGCGACTTTTCTGTCACTATCTTCCAATTCCCTGATGGATGATTCTCTGCTCTCCATTTCTCTCAACAGCCACGTTCCTTTTTCCTTCTCTTCAACCTTTTTCCTCAATTTGATTTTCTGAGTAGTTTATCGTGATAACCCTCTTTCTCCCCCAACTTCTCTAATAACTCTCTTCTCTCATTTCATCCACTAATATTCCAAATAATAATAATAATAATAGTATTAATAATAATAATAATAATAATAATAATAATAATAATATAATATTACTACTAGTTATTAAATTATCATCATTATTAATTATATTATATTATTATCAATCTTAAAGATTTATTAAATGGTTTCCTATACTTTAAGGACACCCACCAACGCTCTCAGACACACTCCCACATAAAGGCACACCAACAATTCATAAATAATTTAATTAAAATAAACGGGCGTTACAACTCTCCCCTACTTAAAAGAATTTCGTCCTCGAAATTACCTC